AACATCTGCAGCATCCAACATCTACAGCATCCAACATCTGCAGCATCCAACATCTACAGCATCCAACATCTACAGCATCCAGCATCTGCAGCATCCAACATCTGCAGCATCCAGGATCTGCAGCATCCAACATCTGCAGGGTTCTTGTAGGAGCATTCATGTAAATAATGTCACCATAATCAATTGAGTGAAGGAAAGTCACAGATACAAGGCGTTTCCTAACATTCAGGGTTAGACAGGATCTGTTTCTGAAAAAGAAACCCAGTTTAACTTTCAGTTTCTTTATCAAGTTTTCCACATGGAGCTTAAAAGAGAGATGTGAGTCGACCAAGATACACAAATATTTATAGGATTCAACAAACTCAATGGGGACACCATTTGAGGATAAAATCAGAGGAAGAACTGCTGGGACCAACTTCCTATTTGAACAAAGCATCCCTTTGGTTTTTTCGGCATTTAGGACAAGTTTGAGGCGGAACAAATCAGTCTGGATGATGTTGAATGCAGATTTCAAAAGCTGGAAAGCCTTAGCAACAGTTTTAGCTCGACAATAAACAACTGTGTCATCAGCATAGAAATGTATGGATGCATTAGGGATGTTTTTACCTACATTATGTATGTAGATTGTAAAGAAGGTGGGTCCTAAGACTGAGCCTTGTGGTACACCATTGTTGACTGTTAAATAACTGGAGGAAGTACCATTATGTTGAACACTTTGCCTCCGGTCTGAAAGATAGTTAGAGAACCAACCAATGGTGTGTTCTGAGAAACCAGTTTCTGAGAGTTTATGACACAAGATGTTATGATCCACAGAGTCAGAATCTTTAGACAGGTCTAAGAAAAGTGCAGCACAATAATCCTTAGCATCCAGTGCTTCAACAACGTCATTAAGAACCTTCAGTGAAGCAGTGGTTGTGCTGTGTTGTTTCCTGAAACCAGATTGATGTGGAGGTAAGATGTTAAATGAGTCCAGGTCATTTTTGATTTGAGAGTTTATCAGTTTTTCTAGAACCTTGGCTAAAATGCAGAGTTTAGAGATTGGTCCATAGTTGTTCAGTGAGGTGGGGTCTCCTCCCTTCAGCAAAGGAAGAACAAAGGCTGTTTTCCAAGTGTCTGGGATGGAGTTTTGTCTCATGGAGAGATTGAAGATGTGGGTCACAGGGACTGTGATGATATGAGCAGCCAGCCTTAAGAAATAAGGTGGAAGTTCATCTGGACCTGCAGATTTTTTAGGACCAAGATCTTTTAACAGTTTATTGACCTCACTGACTGAGAATGGA